TGTGGGAAGGGGGGGGTGGGCGGTGGGTGGTGGGGGGGGGGGTGGGGGGGGTGGGGGTGCACACTTATAAAAACATCTCTAATGGAGGACAGTTGTTCTTCATCAGAGACCCATCCAACTGCAGCAAATCTGTTTAGGGAAAGCAGAGCCATGGCTTTACACAGATTACGCTGGAGCACAACAGCTAAAGCAGATTTGTAAGACTAACTGCAATGATTTTAAGCATCTTTTTTTTTTGTGAGAGAAAATATGACCATTGCTTGATATCTGGAGCAGCTTTGGCAGATGTGACCAATACATAACGCAAAAATCAGACAAGAGATTAAGATGCATCGCAAACGAGGGATGGACGAGGAATAAATACACGAGGAGAAAAGCCTTTGGTACAAATGGTTCTAAAGGGTTCCTCTGTTTAGGTTGTAGAGGACGAGGAGAACAATTAGATAGAAGACACGTCACACCACTAACAAATCCTAATTAGTCACTTATTCATGTATTACAAAGAAGCACGTCAAGCATGACAAAAAAAAAGGCAAAAAAAAAAAAAAAAAGGATGAAGAGCTTATGGTCCTTCCTTGTGTGGAAGCCTGGGCTACAACTAAATGCTGGCTGCCTGCTGAACAAGATTAGGAGGAAATCCTCAACCTGTTTTATCAACTTCACATACTCGTGTCTTAACATGCCGTCAGTGGCAGGAAAGGCACAGGCCCAACATATGACCACGGTACAACTTATCAACTGCAGTCACTAATGCAGCTTACTCAAGCTTACTATCAACCAACTACAACTTTAGACTGGAGGATTCACAAGAACAATCAAAGATGGATGGTTACCTGCAGGTGGGGAGGTGTCAATTTCATCATTCTGCATTTTTATATCTTACATGCAGAAATCTAAACATTTAAGACCCTCTGTAACATTTAACAAGAGCATCACTAAAGTTAGAAGACTTCTCCAAGTATAAACACAAACTCTCAGAAAGCGACACGGGAACTCTGCTCACACAAAAATCAACACAAACTTGTGCTCGATCTTGTAAAAAGTCAAGAGGGATAAAGAGAGGAAGCGACTCACCATCACCAAAGAAAGCTACTCCACTGCGCCCGTGTTAGTATTCTTTTGGACAGTTTCTTGCTGGCGGTAGCAGCACCAGCAGCCCTGGCAGCGCCTCCACCCTGAAAGAGGCTCACGCTGAGAGAGCAAAGGGTGGGCTACATTTGGGTGCTAGGGCAGCGAGAAGAAGAGGGAAGCACAGCTGCACACGGCAGAAGAGGAACAGAAGAAGAGGAGGAGAATGGCAGCTGCCTTGGCAGAAGGAGAACCGGCGCTGTAGTTGGGGCCTGTAAGCTCAGTATGCCACCGACTCGTTCCTCTCCTGCCATCTCAAAACAAAAACACCCACGCACTCTATCTCCGCTCTCCCCTGACCCCCAGCCTGCTGGAGTTCTCTCTCTCTCTCTCCCCCCTCCTCCCTTCCTCTCTCTGGCACTATACACACAGCGTACAGCCAATCCTCGCAGGCCTCTGCCAGCCAATCGGATGCAAGTCGAGAAACTCCCGCCCCATAAGTACACACCCACACAATACACACACAAACAGAGGAGTGAGTGTGAGAGAGAGAGAGAGTAATGAGGAAGCAGAACGAGTGCAACAGAGAGATGAGATGAGTAGAGAGAATAAGGGGGAGGGGTAGAGCGTGATCAACCTGAAGACGGAGTGAAAAGAACAAGAGAACAGAAAGCCAATGCTACCACGTCCATGTAGTGGGAGGATGGCACACCAATAGCGGAAAAAGAAACAACAAAACTCGAGTGAGAAAGGACAGGTTTGTAGAAGTAAAAACCCTGATTAACCACAGAAACACCGGCTGAAGAACAGTGCTGTCTGAACAGTGTGTTGTGTACACGCACACGCACACGCACACACACACACACACACACACAGTATTTCCTCTGCCAGCAGTATACTGACAACAGCCCTCACCTTCTTCCTTTCCTCTTTTCTTTTATTTTTTAAACTGGTCGTGTCTCTTCAGCTGGCCACCATAATCATACTTAGCAAACGCACCTTGTTTTTCCTGCTTCCTGTGGTGCGAGAGAGGGGGAAAAAAACTGCTGAAAAATGTCAAGCTCAAGTGAACAAAGAGCAGAAGAAGGCGATGGAAAACCCACTGGCAGCCAGATTCAACCCAGTTCAACCACAACATAAACTTCTACAGCATGTATTCATTGGGCCAACACTCCTCCCCTAAGAAAAAAAAAAAAAAAAAAATAATAACAAGGTTCTCCTAAGTGAAGCTCCACCTACTGCACATTGCACAGCTGAGCACACAAACGTTTGAGTCATACATCCAACCGAAGCAATAACTGTTCCCCAGGAGACTCTCCTAACTGAATAGAACAAGACACCGAGGCCTACCTACAAGCAAAGTGACATTCAAGCAGACAAATCAAACATGAATGCTGGTTCTGAAAAGACAGGATCCGCTCAAAACATGTTCTCACCGCTAAGTTGCAAGACCAGGATGGATTTATGTTTTTCAGAAATGTAGCAAGAAGAACATCTACTCTCTCTGGAGCTTCGTAGAGAGAGAGAACATGTGAGTGGGTGGAAGAATATGTAAGCAAGAGTATGTGTATGTCTGGTCGAGGGGAGGGAGGGAGGAAACATCGTGCCAGAGTGAACACACAGGAGTCCTGAGCAGCCAGAGGGCCTGTTATTACGGCACCATTAAAACCAATACCATTAGATTCAGCCCTGACATTCTGTAACGGGGAAAGGGAATAATTGCATTACTATATTCCTTTATAATAACTTACCCACAATGATGACATTGTTACAACACAAGATGATTTTGCAATAGTCTACCAGGGTCTGTGTTACTTAACAGTATCTGTGCAATTCAAGAGGAAGATGTACCCTTAGAATCCAAGCTACTCCTCAAAAAGCAGGTTTATTGACTGCATTATAAAGAGCTTTAATACAAGCGGCTGAAATGAAGCAGTAAGTAGAGTAGTGAGTCTGAGCAATAATTAAATATGATAATGAATCGTCTTTCAGTGGAATAATATGGTGATAATACCAAAATACTCACTTTTCCTTTGTCATGCATTTAAGAGAAAAACCATGTGGTTCATTGAATTACCAAAAAAAATAAAAAATCTAAATCACACTATTATGATATATATTGTTATAGAGATATGAAATGACCTATATCGCCATGTAATATTTTGCCCATATTGCACCGCCTTAGTCTGAGCCTTCTGAACTGGTCAATAAAAATACAGGTCAACAAGGAAGTGGCAAAAAAACACGAGTCCAAATGCCCCAGTACCACAACGCAAATGTCAATGTATCAATAATGTATCATGGTAGTATACCATGACATATTACGCTATTAATTATACATCTCTGACTCCGTAACTTAATTCAATAACAACTACATACAGAATTATGAGTTTATCATTGGTTTAAAAGTGAGCTGGCCCTCCTAGAGAGCACTCATCCCGACAACCACACCAATAAATTATGCAACACAACCTCGTCTGGATCATTTCTGAACAGCAATATATAGGCTACCAGTTAGTGCAGTCCAGCCAAAGCAAGAGGGAGAAGTAGGGCATCATGACCTACATTAGGTATCTCCAACAGGCTCATTGAGGTACGCACTCAGCAGAGTCAACTTTTCTCGACATCAAGATGTTTGATATGTGATCAACACCCTTTGTCCATTTGTGGCAGCTCTCACGCTGGTCATTACAACACTGGAGAAATAACTCCAACACTTACAATACATCTTTCAAACACGGCAATGAGTGATGAGTCCGGCTGAACGCAGCGGTCAGCTGAGATCGACTTGCCTAAGAGTACAGTTTAGAAAAGCTGACTTTAAGAGTTCTGCCTCAAAATCCGCTTCTACCTGGTAAAAGGTGGAATGAACAATGATTTTCTCGCAATTAAGCGCCGTCACTCATGAGGCTCACAAAACAACAGGCTGCGTTTCCACAACTTTTTGTCAATTTACCAACAACCCAGAACTCATAGACTCAATGAAAACCGGAATGTTTGATGAACATTTAGAAAGGTCTGTATTGTCCTGTGGTAGTGAAGAGCGAGGGAACAGTTAAGCTCCAACTCAATGAAAACCGGCATGTTTGATTAACATTTAGAAAGGTCTGTATTGTCCTGTGGTAGTGAAGAGCGAGGGAACAGTTAAGCTCCAACAGTTGGTCTGCCAGGGTGGCAGGTTTGCCTCCAGAAGGGGCTCTGTGAGAACCCAGTGGGAGCCAGAGCGCTGCAGAGCTCTCCCCAGCTCAGACCTGGCCCACATCGCTTCTACCGTCTGCTACCAGAAGCCTTCATTCGACTCTCGAGCCTACACAATCAAACGTCCAAAATATTCCCCCGAACACGGACAATGCTGACAGGATGTGACGTTCTGCTTGTGTTATCTGCTCGGTAACAAAGGTGAGTGCATTTGGGATTTGACAAGGAACAAATGGAAGGAAAAAAAAGGCCAATTTCTGCACTTGTTGAAAAAACATAATATCTGCTTCAAGTGAAGAGAGTTAAATGAACTGACATGCAGAACAGATGACAGATTCAGTCAGTAATCGCCTTCACTGGAACCCAGCAGAGGCCTTGTAATTCTGAGAGGCAGATAATTCAACAATCCCCCCACTGTGTGTGTGTGCGCGACTGTATTCATAACGGCGCAAGTATCTCGTGATTCATATTTAGAGCTGATCTTTTGTGCATCCAACTGAATTACGTGAATAATGTGTGAAAAGGGTAAACCTAACAGTAGTACGCCAATCATTGGCTCATTCGTCACAAAGGTGAGGACACACTCTAGTGCTTCACTGCTTCTTCCTCTGGGAGTCACCATCAGATGCTACTGTGCAAGTATGTTTTATGATGACGCTTAACTTTAGAGTAAGACAACAACACATTCAGGAGTATTTTAGAGTCCAGCACATTACAGTGTGAGCAGTGCTTCTTCTGCACTTTGTATATGTTTGTTTGCAAAATGTATAGGATTTGTTTTGAACGTGTGAAATGATTCTACACGTGTACATCGATTCTCAGCCAGAGGTGATAGTTGAAAAAAGAGTGAATGATCTTAGTGTTCGTTCACCCAGAAACCTTGGCTTAATTCTGGAATAATACTTTTTCAAGTACCCTGAATGTGCTGTTATACCAATTTTGAGTGAAAATAATGCATATATGTATTAGATTTCAAGAAGAGATTTCCATTTCAAAGTCAAATCTTTTATGCAACACTTTCCCTGAAACTCACATTAAGAAACCTCGTTTGTGCCACAAGTCAGTCACGTGAAATGTTTTCCGTTACTTCTGCCGCACATTCAAAAAATGTTAATGACATCGTAACTATTTTTGGGGTTACTATAATGGATTCCCAATACATGGAGTGATTAAAATGTGTGAAGCAATTAAGGATTATGAAGATGTGGTCTGTAGACATGCTGCTGCTTCCACTCCTAAACCTTTAGATTCTGTATATCACTCGCCATTGCACTCTGTGATATGCAACGGCATCTCTAAATAATAGAATAAATTGTTGGCGATCTGCCACCTTTATTATTGGTCTGGACCTATGGACCTTATCAGACTTGCTCCGATGACATTTCACCCCCGTCTGTGGGTGCTTTTTAACCGTTTAATAGATTTACTTTTGTTATTATCTATTATGTGCTGCATACGCTCGACATAGCTCGCTCTCGATGATCTATCGAGATTAAATAAAGTTTGCATAACGATGTGTAGAGGAGGACCAGAGTTGAATAGACTTACATTAAACAGGTTCGTCTTGTTTCTCTCACAGAAGAGTCCTTGTGCCGGCATGTGCTTCAGCTGTTGCCATGGGACACTGCTTCCTAGCAACACATCTCGGGCCCACTGTAGGTTCTGTGGCGGGAAATAAATAAATAAATATATAAATGAAAAAACACATCAATTTGAACACGCACGCACACACGCACACACACACACGGCAGTATTAGATAACCAAGGGGAGACGCCTCCTTCATCAGAAATGATTTATAGAAGTGATGAACAAACTAAGTAATTCATATATTGTAAAAAAAGGACAAAATATGCTCATTTGCAAATCAGGAAAATGCAGACCCCGTATTGCAGAGTGATGACTCACAATTCAGTGTGTACACCAGAGACCTGGTTGAGAAGATAGCAAGCTAACGCCACCTCATGTTATCTTTCACTAACCCAGTGGGCTATAGCAGGAAAGTACAGGCTCCTTATCCTCACTCCATCTTTGGAGTGAGGATAAAGCTGGCCAGTGGATGTGAGAGGAGCAGTCGTCCTGAGAACAAAAGGCGGCTCAGACGCTGTTAACACTGGATGTGTCTGGGTGTGAGGGCAGCTAAGCAACATGTGTCAACAACACCACATAAAACTGACTGTGACATCGAGTCACTGCCAGTGAAGCAACACCTGTGTAAGCCTCCGTCAAAAGTTATTTTACATTTAACTGAGCCTCGAGGAAATTATCTTTAAATACTAGGTTAATAAAAAAAGCTAAGGTTTCTTCAGTATTGAAGCAAATTAGGGAGACATAAAACACATGATGCTGCACACTCTGAGGTCAAATGAGCATATTACAAAACTTAAAATGTAAAAGAGCCATTCCCAATTCAACCTTATAGTGGGGACACAGGCTGTATTAAAAAAAAAGTTGGACAAATGGAGCGCTGACAGAAGGATGCCACCAGAGGAAAGCTGAACCTCACTGTGCCAAACTGGCTGAGAGAGCACTGCGCTACCACCCACGCACACCTCTGCCCACAGAGCCTCATAGCCAAGACAGGCTGTTTCAGCAACTCGTGTAATACTGCAGAGCTGCACAGACCCGAAGGAAAGATCCAAGGAGAAACAAAACCCGACAGCCATACTTGTCATTAAAATAATGAAAGTAAAAGTTCATCTGTATTTTGAGGAAATTGTAGAGATTCTTAGCAAGCCCCATCTTCTGTAAATGTCCCCATTAATGACAGGGGATACTGATTATAGGCGTATCGCTTAGGTATAATGTATGACTTGGCCTTTGAAATGCGATGACAATGGACTAGTGCCATCAATTAACAGGCAATTAACAGGGGGGGGGACTGACCTGATGGGTCTTGCTGTTGGTGTAGAAGAAGGCCAGGCGGTAGAGACTCTTGTAGTGCTGAGGGAAGCGGCCGAGGCAGAGGAAGAGAGCACGGACACACATATCCACCAGCATTCGTCTCTGGTCTCCGAGCTCTGCGGGCAGGGCCTTGGGCACCTCGATCACCTCGGCGGGGGGCTCTGGCTTCCTTTTCCCCTCACTGGCTGGGGTTTGAGGAGCAGCCTGTTGAGAGTGGGATGGCTTTGGAGGAGTGGCTGGGACAGGTTCCACGGAGACCTTGGGGTCTGAAGCCTCAGTGAGCGTCACCACCACAGCTTCTACTACTTCCTGGATAACTTTTTCTTCCGTCTGGATGCCAGAATGGTCTACATGTGACACTGAAGCAGGATTTAAATGAAAGACTTTAGGACTTGAGTTTTGCACGTTAGATCAGTGTTCTGCTTGCTTAATATGGAGCATGTAAACATCAAGACGCCACATCTGACTATAGGTTTTCTGCACATTTAAATATGGTACTTTTGTGCAAATTGTTATATAAATTGATTCCATTCAGCTAAGACAATGTAATGGTACAGTCCGAGTGTACCTGTGTCCTCGGATGCGAACTGTCCGTCCTTCACAGGTGTCGTACTTTCTGATGAGGATGAACTGGCTTTCCCAGAAGCAGGTTTGTGGCTGCTGTCTTGTGAGCTGGTGGGATCTGTGAAGGCATCCTGGGTGGAGTTGGAATCAGAGAGCATCACCACCTCGCTGTCCTGACTGCGCTCTGCCAAAACAGAAAAACACATCATGGGTCACCAGTTGTCTGGACCCAGATCAAGACAAATCATATTATAGATAAATACAATACAAATCGGATTTATTTTTCTGTGTGTGGGGGGGGGGGGGGGGGGGGGGTGGGTGTGTGTGTAATAAAATTTTTTTTTTAAAAAGACTGTACTGTAATTTCAGGAGGGACAATCTTTCATTGGTCAATAAATTAAGATTACAGTATTGCATAAATTGCAACCAATTATCCAAAATGTGTCATGGCATACATTAACCGCATGCCGTGGAGGCCTTTTTTAAGCTCTTGTTTTTTAATGCCAAACATTGCCTGTTATAATGTGGGAGAAAGAAATATATATAATTATGAAACAAGAATAGGTCATGAGCCACAAATCCTTATTAGGGCATCCCTAATGACAACTTGTTTTAAAAACGATAAAAGTGGTCCAAAACCAAAATACCAGCATTTCTCTTAATTGCCATGTTGTGCAGCCTCAGCAAAAATACAGTCCTTGGCAGGGAGCTGTCTGTAGCTAACAGAAACAGAAGGGCAATACGCTTTTGCTATTTCAGTGACTAATGCCCACAGGGGACTTTTGAAAAACAGATTCACAGTCATTATTTAACAGCATAGTTATAATGATACTGCAAGCTTTGTGTAAACTGACAGCTGTGTGCTCCCACAAGAACGCACTTCATTGTGGATCTAAAACATCTTAAAGGCCTCTTAAAGAGTTTGGTGGGTTTGAAAAACAGTACCATTCAGGGAAGCCAGCCACATTGGAGACCTGGGCAGGCAGTAATCATGGTCAAACTCTGGTGAGGCTGTTGAAGATATGGGGAGCTGGTTTTAATATAATCCAAAAGAAATCTGCATCTCTGAATTTATATTTAAAAATCTGCAATTTCCCCTAAAAAAAATAATAAAATAAATTACCTTTCTTGACAACTGAATACAGATTCGATGCCACTCTCCTTGAAAATGTTGAACCTGATTCAGACAAAAATATCTATAAGTGCAGTGCAAGTGTTTCTAAAGATCAATATTTCTCACCTAAACTTAAAAGAATAAGACCTGTGATATGATCAGTGGATACAACCTAGAGCTGCCTCTTTAGCAAAGCTGTAAAGACCCTCTGGCTGGCATTTATTGTCATTTTGCCGAAAATTTCAGAAAGAATACTTAAAAGGGACTATAAAAAGGAGCATTTTTCCAGATAATTATTAGATAAAGGCATGTCTGAATCAGGCCCCACTCTCTCGCCACCTTGCTGTCCTTTAAGCAGGACTACAAGCAAACATGTGCATGGAGGGGTATTTTCACCTGCCAATAATAGGCCAGCCACAATCTTCTTGGCCTGACATTTTCACACTAATTGGCCATAATTGGAAATTATATCCAATTAGTGGAACACAGCAACACACATGATTCACGTCAGATTTTGAAATATCTTAAGAGAGTTTGACTTTTTGTCAAATTAGCCCCACACCACACTTAAATAAGATGTAACCACATGATACACCAGACAGTTAAGTGAAGTGTGATAAAAGGACCGACTTGGTCCAGTCGTGGAGACATTCACCCCATTAGAACCACATGCATATAAAATGGCAAAGCAGGTGGTAAAAGCAAGCAGGCACAGAGGTAGCAGGCAGGTAGGTAGGTAGGAAGGAATCTGGAAAGGGTGACAAAACCGGCAACATGGGCAATATGGCTGCGTTATTTGCACATTCAAGCTAAACATGACACATGGGGAGGGTGAACAGACGTCACGGTTTTTGTCATATGGAAAAAATGGTCAGGACTGCTTTCTGCAAACAGCATTTAGGCTTACGTTTCACAATACTCAGCAAGTAATAGCAAATGTAAATCTGAATCCAGGCTGCTTTAACTGAATGTGTAAATATACGACTATTATGTAAATTCTGACATAAAACAATACCACTAAAACTCTCTCAGAGAAACAAAGACAATTCCCATTTCAACACTGCAAGTACAAGAGTACACATGAAAGATGGTCGATGCGCATGACTCAAAAGGTCAGTTATAATGTTCATCGTACACACACACACTGTACTACATGTACATTACTGAAAGCACAACGTACATCTAACACCTTACTCATGCCACTATCAAATCTGTTTTTCAAAAACAGTCATTTTCAACTTTTTTTACACCCAGCTTCATGAGAAAAGTAAATATTTCTATGAGAGTACACTGAAAACTTCCCTGTTTATCAGAACTACCGTGTAGAGTACCTCAACTGAACACAACATCCAATTGGATGAACTTAAACGGTTAAGTTGGCTTGCTGGTTTGTTGTGCGTCTCATCTCTGTTCTCATTTCTGCTGCTGTACATGAAGGCTTCTTGCAAAACAGATCTTAACCTCAATACATTACCTGATTAAATGAAGGCTATAATAACAAGGCAGGATAGGAAGGCTTGCTGATAAATATATAATCAGTGTAATCAGGCCGTGGTTACTATTAGTAAAGTGCTCTGGATAAGCATCAGGGATCTCCACTCTGTTTAACCAACACACAGTGAAGCAACAATCAGGATCATTAAGAATGTGCTGCGATGTTATCGGCTTAAGGAAGTTATAACAAAGCAACAATTAATACATTAGAGTCAAGATGATTGGTAAGGAAAGAAAATAAGACCAGCCATCAAGCAATTACTAGACATTGATGTTATTTCCACACACACACACACACACACACACACACACACACACACACACACACAC